AAACTATCATCTCTTGTTTTACCGAACTGCCTCAGAGAGAAGGGTATAGTTTCTTACAGACTAAGAAATTATACTTATCTCTTGAACACCACTATAAACCTGTAAAGGTTCTCTGTAGCCGTGTTGTTGTTATAGTACTGTTGTTAAGAAGGCCACGGTACTGTAACAGTATAAATATTTTAAGTTCATACAATATATAAACTATCTATTTATTCTTAGTATATGTGATGCATTTATTAATACACTTGATATATATATTGTTTCTAATGAGCTCTTTGTTAAAGTAATTTCTGTATCTTTAAGTTTAGAACAACTCACTATTCATTTAGTTGGATTGAATGATCATTTATAAGAATCATTAATGGAGGTTACTAAACAGAAAAAAATAAAAGTTCTTCACATATTATTATTCTTAGATTTGGAGTTTAGTAAAATGTTTTCCAATTAAACAAAGAACTAATCCATAAGCTTATTGCTAAATGTAGCACTGATATGCTTTGAATTGAAGAATTTTTAAAAATACAAACCAATGCAACAATTACAAGACTAAAATAAATGATAGATGTAAGAATCTTATTAAATATTTCACATCACTTAAGATACTTATTCTTGATAAGATTAAATATGAAAAAAGATTTTTGTTAAAATTAAAAGTTCCAATTCTTGTTATTTATACAAAAATAGAATTAGTTAAATTCTATTCTACTTTAAAGAAAAATAAAAATATTAAATTATTTAGAATTGAATGAGTATGTAATTATTATATTATACAAAGTTTTTTACATTTTGAAACTAAGGTAAAAGTATTTGATAATCTTATTTTAGGATTTTCTAAATCTATTTTGCTTTATAAAATTGTTTATTTTGGCACTATAGTAAAGATTATTCTTAATAATTTAGATCTTGTAAAAAAAATATTAGATAATAAGAAAATTGAATATAGTTTTAGTTAATATATTATTTTTATAAAAAATATGTATTATATAAATAAATATGTTATTAGATTTTCTTTTTTGAATTTTTGTACCAATTCTGGTTTTTATAAATAAACATTTACTTTTATTAATTAAAGCAATAAAAAATGTCTTCTGTAAATATTGATCTTCATAATTTTTTAAGAAGCATATTATTAAAAAATGCAATTGATTTACTTCAAATAGTATGTGAAAAAAAATATAAAAATACTTCAAGAAGTAAAAGTTCTTATTCAAGTAATTCTAGTTATTAAGAAATTTTAAAAAAGTTTACTTTAATAAAAAACTATTATAAACAAAATAATATTATTGAACTCAGTTATTTTTACCAAAGATGTAATGATTGTTACTTTAACTGAGGATATACCAAATTCAATTAATATTATAAATATGCCTATAATGTTTACAAGTTGGTCCATACACATATTATATATCTTGTAAATTATTTGTAAACTCTGCAAATATATATTCTAATGTGCATTAGCATATCCAACAAGATTTAAAGATAATAATGAAGTCAAAAGCTAGTCCAAATGTTCATTCTATTGTGATAAGTATGATTAAGATGCATTTCAAAAATATTTAAAAATATGCCAAGAAGTCATTAGCAATAATCTTAAGATTGTATTCTTTGAAGTAAAACCACATTCTGTTAAGTCGAATGCAATAATAACTATACTAAAGTTTATCAATCTTAGAAAGAAATTATGTGAGCATTGTGATAAGATTTATAATAATGCAAATCTATGTATTTCAAAAAGAACAAAATACTATTACAACTGTAGGAAGTTTGGACATATTAAATGAAACTGTTCAGATATATGATGATAGAAATTTAATAAATTTGGTTATCTCAAAACAGATTGCAGTTATCAATAGTTAAAATTATAAATTGATACCCATATACTGCTAGGCTAAAGTAGTTAAATCAGTCAATAGTTAACTTTAACATTGAAACTGATGTTAATGTATTTATTAATATTAAGTCAAATGTTAAAGTTAACTATTGAATAGTTTTATTAACTATATTTGGTTTGCAGTATATAGGTGTCAATCATTTCTTTTTTTATATTAATATATCTTTAATAAATTTATACATAATAAAATAACTATAAATAACTAAGTAAAAGTGTATTGAAAAAATGCTTATGACAATGTTCAAATTACAGAAACATTCAGTCATATTCTATTTTAATAAAAAAGCTTGCATATTATGTAATTATAAGATTAAACACAATAGTGGTATTGCTTCTATAAAAAAACATTTTATCAACAAGTATAATGATAAATGGCTTAGTATTCATAAACATAAATTTATTGAAGGTAGAACTCCAAATAAGAAACATCCAGTAGAGAAATATTTTTGTAAAAAAAAATGCATTGTATGCAATTATGAATTTCAAGTTAACCCAAAACTTTCAACTATGAAGAAACACTTTGTAAATATTCATAAAGCAAATTGAGATATATTTATTAAGACAAAAAAGTTTATAATTAAGTTAACACAAAGAAGAACTCAAACTCAAGTTGTTAAAAAAATGATTATAAATTCTATTGTTTAAATTAAAGAAACAAAAAAGTTAAAATCTAAATTAAAAAATACTGTTTTGCAAAAGAAACTTAAAGTAGTTAAAAAGATTTTTAAGAAACCTAATATTGTTAAAGAACAGAAATTACCCTTATTTGGTCATGATACTCAAATTGTAAATCACCATTTTAACCAATATAATATGCTAAATATGTATCAATATAACATTTGTTATGAGGTAGTTCAACCAGAATTAGTCTTTTTGTATATAAAACTTGGATGTAAAAAAAGATTTTTAGATAATTCAGATAAATTTGAAAATATTATATAACTTAATGAAATATATAAATAAACCAATTCTAAACTTAAGTTAACTTATAAAAAATGTTTGAAGCAACTTTTGATAAAGCAGCATTGTTTAAACATATCATTAAAGCAACAAGAGAGCTTGTTACTAATATTAACATCAAGTTTACAGAATATGACATCAACTTTACAAGCATAAATTCATTATACATCACATTCATCTCTGTCCATCTTGATAAAAAAAGTTTTGAAAAATATATTTATGATAGTAAGGAAACTATCAATATAAATCTTGATTATCTAAACAAGATATTCAGTTATATGAAAAATAATAATACTCTTATACTTGAATTAGTAAATCCATAATTTCTAAGTGTTTTATACAGAAGATCTGATGATCTTAGTAAAACTGAATATAAAATACAATTACTAGATATTGACCAAGAAAAGTTTAGTATCATATCTACTAATTTTAGTGTTATTTTAATATGCCTTTTGATAAATTAAAAAAGATATTCTTGGACCAAATGGTCATAAGTAAATTAGTAAAGATAATTGTAGAGCAGAATAATAAGATAGCTAAATTTATTTCTAATAGTGATTTTAACAATAAATGCATTAATACTTTAAATAAAAAAAAAAATAATTTGAATGATAAGATCTCAATTATTGCAGAAAATAGTATAGATAATTTATTTTTACTAAAGATTTTATTGATGTTTATAAAAGCATCTTCTTTATTAACTCATGCACAAATTGTTTAGAAAGTAACTTTCTAATTGTTGTTAAATATAAAAATGAACAAAACTATATTCACTACTACCTAGTACTAAAAGTAGTTGAAGAATAAACATATATTTTATTTATATTTTTAGTTAAATAAAACCTAAACTATAAACTAAAAGATATTATTTCAGGGGTTTAAGTACTTTATATTAAATTCATTACATTTCTTGATTGCATTTTTATTACCTTTTTGTGCAGCTATAATTAAATATTTTCTATCTTTTTCTTCATTTTTAAACTTTTGATCAGTATAATAAATTGAATTTAATATGTAAAATGCAATTGCATTTTCATCTTTTTTGGCAACTGACTTCAAGTAATTTTTTTTTTTTTTTTTTTTTTTTTTTTTTTTTTTATATAAGCAGTCACGCTAGTACTTTATTAGGTTTTTGGAATTACATTTGCAACTACATAAATATCTCTAATATTTAAGTCTAGCATCACCCGGCCACCTTAATGGTACCTAAGTGCAACCT